TCTTATTTCAAATTTACTTGGAGCCAGTTACATAAGTGCTCATTATCCACTCTGTTAAGTCAATTTCTAGATTTACTAGAAGATATAAAACAACTAGATTCGTGGTAACTACAAAGGGCCATGCTGGTTTATGCCTCTAGTGAGATTGGTCATTCTTACGAACACAAGCCTCTTTAGATCTAAGTAGAACTTGTTCCAACCACCAAAGTGTTTTATTCTCGTGGAAGTATATTAATCACAATTTTGTGTTGAATCACAAGTCATTTTTATTGTATTTTGGTTGGAGAATTGTGAAATAGAAACCAAATGGTAACAAACCAGTTGGAATCAATTGAATTTTTAAGTACTTTAAGCCCCATATCTTTTATTATATACGTGGCCACTCTATGCTTTCAATAAGACATTAAATGCTGCCTGTGGACCTGAAGAGTGCAGTAGATTACAGCAATCAGGTCGTATGACAAGTAGGATTATGTGCAATTGCAACGGGGCTTTACTATTTGAGTTGCTCTATATGTTTCTTTGTGCTCTTAGTTATCAAAAGAGATGGTCTTCTAAAATCTACTTTCTTTTACTATTTGAATTGCTCTATATGTTTCTTTGTACTCTTAGTTATCGAAAGAGATGGTCTTCTAAAATCTACTTTCTTTTCATATGTTCAAAATTTAGAACCCATAAGATTTTTGTTTTCGCTTTTTGGCTGAAATATTGCTTAGTATGTGATCTTGGTTATATTGAATAGCAACTAATTGTTGCATTCTTTCGATATTCACTTTCAGCAAAGGAATCCTCGAGTCCCTGAGGAGGAGAGCACAAATAATGACAGATGGATTCAATAGCTGTAGAAATGTGGTCTGCAATTTTACGGAAGGTAAATCATTTTCTTTGGATGCGCAGATTTACTAAATCCCACCCCTCCAAGAACACACTGATCGCCATCAATTAGATATCCACCTTCCTGCATTACATGGAAGTTATTCATTGTAAAAACAAAATGATTTCAGGTGCCATGTATTCCTTCCCACAAATACGCTTACCTCCAAAAGCAATAGAGGCTGCGAAAAAGGCCGGGAAAGTTCCCGATGTTTTCTACTGTCTCAAGCTTCTAGAAGCTACAGGCATTTCCACTGTCCCAGGTTCGGGATTTGGTCAAAAGGAAGGGTACGTCTACTCTACTTTTAATTTTTTCATCGTACCTCAGTTTTCTTGTTGGGAAGTAATGCTCAAAATCATGTATTGGGAAGATATCACATTTTGGGTGGTCCGTTGATATAGCTCAATGATGCTATTAGTTGCAACTTAATATACAATTGAGGAGCGTTAAATTCCTTAGCGGTCATTAAAACTTTATTTTGTTTCAAGTTGGTAGTTATTAGTTTAGTGACCGCTAGTGTTTTTAACTCGATCAGGCTGATGGTAACTGTATTTGTAGGGTTTTCCACCTGAGGACAACCATCTTGCCGGCTGAGGAAGACATGCCGGCCATCATGGCCAGTTTCAAGAAATTCAACGACGATTTCATGGAACAATACGAAGACTACAGAGGCTATTCGAGGATGTAAAAATGTGGTCGGACATCTACCGTATATCTTCTTTAGCTGTTAAGAACCTAAAAGATTTCCTCAATACCTCCTTCATATTTTACATCTCTGTTCTTACTACAGTTTATATGCTTGAGATTCTCTCATTAGTCTTTTTAAGTTATTTGGTCACTTCATTATATTGTGGTAACAAAATGAATAATATTATTCATGAACAAACAAAGATCGTGAAAATATACAATGATCACATGATTAAAATAGAATTTTTCTAAATATATTGAAAGTAGGTTAGACCTTGTCAAGCTAGATTGGGGAGTCAAGTGGCCAAACTTAGGCCATAGGTCAACCTAGGTTGGATAATGCTAGTTGTACAAACATGATAGACAATCTTGGTTGCCAATCACGTGTTGTGAAAGTTCGAATCATTGGTATAAAAAACAGTTTTTAACAACTTTTAAAATATGTAAATGTGATAGTGTCAAGTGTGTAGTTGTCAATCAATGTTGTCAACAAAGGTTGTAAATGTAGTATGATTCGCCTAGGTTTTGGTCCCCTTGCTGGTTTTTGAAATTCGACGTCATGAAGTGTTTTCACACTATTGAATGATATGGAAGAATTGATTCCACATCGAAGAGAAAAGGATTGAATATTCATTTGATCGAATAAGTCTCTTCCATAAATGATTGTTAGGGAACCTTACACTACCGTTAGGATTTTTTCCTCTCAACTTTGGATCTTAGTACCTAAAAAGTCCGTCGGTACAAATGTTAGGCCAAGCCACCATGTTCAGCCATGATAGGTTGATCCGTGTAATTTCTTTTTGTTAAATATTTATGTATAGTAAAATACCTTTTATAAATTTTAGAAAAAAATCAACTACATGAACTATGGATGAAATTGTGGGCTCGATACAATCTACCATTTCTATTTGCTCCTATGAACATGAATTGATTTTCCTACCATTATAATCCAATTATCACAAGATCAATTCACTTTACCCCTCTTGACCCGTCGATGATCGAACGTACTATTTTCTGGCCTTGCTACAGAATTTTCTATATAATGAGGGTAAAAATGGGAATTAAAAATTTGACGGCTGAAAGCAAACAAATGTCGCCAGGAATCTAATGTCAATGTCATCAGTATTTACTGTACTGCCCTGCCTTTAGAAATATTCACGTGCTTGTCCCTTGTTCTTCCCTAGCTTTCAGGCTATGTTTGGTTAGGTCACGATTTCCTCGTCTATTTTAATCAAGACAAATAGTATTCACCATTACTCTTCCCCCATTTTCTTCAATTCAAAATTTAAACAAAAATATAAATATGTTTAGACTTGTCTTTTAACTATATAGAATTTTAGATACGATAGTAACGTCTAATCACTGGTACTTCACTTCTTCACGAAGAATTCAATTTCATCGGGCTCATACTGTAGATAGCAAAGAGATTACTATCTTTTTCTTCAAACCCTCCACCAGTTGAGACTAAACAACTATAATACGCGGTGATGCATAGGTGGGAGACGTTCATGAAGGTATCAAAGCAATAAAATTTGGGTTGAATTGAGTTTTGCCTATCGAATTAAAAGAATAACTAAACACTTTCAGGACAAAAAATACAACATTTTTTTATCATCGTTATTTTTAAAATATATTTTTCTTTCTCTTCTTTTTAACCATACATTTTTCATAAAATAATATTACATTTAAATCCAAAATGTTTCAACCACACATTCTCCATCAATTTATTATTCCAAAATACACTCTTAGGCTCAAAACAAGCTCTAAATCTCTATGTTTGAAGGACATGTTGAAGGTGACATTTATAAACAAATAACTGTGTCTACCTTCAACTTTTAGGGGGGAGGGTGGGTGGCCTTTTAACCCTACTCCCCCACCCACTCTCCCTTCTTTTTTTTTGTCTCTCCTCAGATAAAGTTTCCATAGCTAAAGAGTATTTTCAATCATAAAACTTTCTCTTGAAGATTTTTCCTTGTGGTCTCTTGAGAATCTATTCTCTTCATCCTTTACACAAACTCCCACTTTTTTGCTCTAAATTGTTTCTATTTATGAAGTTTCAAAATCTTGATCTTACAAAAATGGGGTTTACAGAAAAGATTCATCGAATGGATGAAATTACATTGAGAAATCCCCTAAAGCCAATATCTACAAATCCAGTGGAGAAACTAGGGCTGCAAAAAGATGATGAAGAAGAGTTCTCAACAACACCAAAATCTGCAGATTCAAGAATTCCAAGCAAATTGATATGTCCACCAGCCCCGAAAAAGCGAAAAGCTTCTTCAAAATGTCATTTTGCTGGTGTTATGGAGTTCTTCAATCCACCAGACCTGGAAACAGTTTTCATTCCTCGGGTCAAAAGAGCCTCAAGCGGTATTGAACCTTACAATGAACAAGATTTTAACTTCTTCTATTCGCGTTAAGTGTTAACTTCATTCTTTTCTACTTTATAGTCCTTGGTTCCTGTCTGTTTTTTATCAGTAACTGGTGCCAGGAGTCTAATGCACATGGCTCTTATGCCTAATTAAGCTGGCAGCTTTAACTTATAAGTAGCTTCATTAATTTTCTTTTGAGGATTCATCCTAGTGCTTCTTTGTTTGGTCAAACTGAAATATCTTGGTATGTTGCTAAAACTTATTTAACTTTCTGATTTCTTTCAAGTTACCATATGCTTGTAACATTTTTCATTCTTCCAGCTAGATTTTAACTTCTTCTTCTTCTTTNCTTCTTTTTTTTTTTTTTTTGCATGCACTGTTTCTTATTTAAATCGGCCTGCAGTTTTAACTTATTGATTTCCTTTTTAAGCATTCAACCGTGTAATTGTGTCGTTGCTAAAACTGAATCTTTTTTTACCATATTCGATCTACTGATGCATGGAATGGGAAAACTGTGTCGGTCGTGAGTTCTTGGATGTAGAAAATGTCGTGTTTGGAGACAAATCGATCAATTAGGTCATCTGGGCCAAAAATTAACATGTCGATATAAAAGTCATATCATCTCGTGCCTAACTACATTGTCCGATATATATAGTATGCACAATATATAGACTTAGCTCATGTTTGACACCCATTTTTAAAACTCATTTTCAATTACATATTTCATAATATTCACAATTTTTATCAACTTTTCATGTGTCATCAATTTTTATCAAAATCTACTGAAAATCTATTTTTTATCCAAATCAACCGGGAGCTTAGATTCTCGTGTATCCACTTACGAGGAAAAGAAGTTACACACACCACATATCTCCCTTCTTTTTTTTTGTCTCTCCTCAGATAAAGTTTCCATAGCTAAAGAGTATTTTCAATCATAAAACTTTCTCTTGAAGATTTTTCCTTGTGGTCTCTTGAGAATCTATTCCCTTCATCCTTTACACAAACTCCCACTTTTTTGCTCTAAATTGTTTCTATTTATGAAGTTTCAAAATCTTGATCTTACAAAAATGGGGTTTATAGAAAAGATTCATCGAATGGATGGAATTTCATTGAGAAATCCCCTAAAGCCAATATCTACAAATCCAGTGGAGAAACTAGGGCTGCAAAAAGATGATGAAGAAGAGTTCACAACAACACCAAAATCTGCAGATTCAAAAATTCCAAGCAAATTGATATGTCCACCAGCCCCGAAAAAGCGAAAAGCTTCTTCAAAATGTCATTTTGCTGGTGTTGTGGAGTTCTTCAGTCCACCAGACCTGGAAACAGTTTTCATTCCTCGGGTCAAAAGAGCTTCAAGTGGTATTGAACCTTACAATAAACAAGATTTTAACTTCCTCTATTCACGTTAAGTTTTAACTTCATTCTTTTCTACTTTGTAGTCCTTGGTTCCTGTCTGTTTTTTATCAGTAATTGGTGCCAGGAGTCTAATGCACATGGCTCTTATGCCTAAATAAGCTGGCAGTTTTAACTTATAAGTAGCTTCATTAATTTTCTTTTGAGGATTCATCCTAGTGCTTCTTTGTTTGCTCAAACAGAAATATCTTGGTATGTTGCTAAAACTTATTTGACTTTCTGGTTTCTTTCAAGTTACCATATCCTTGTAACATTTTTCATTCTTCCAGCTAGATTTTAACTTCTTTTTTTTTTTTTTTGCATGCTAGCGCTCATTTGATTTTAACTTCTTTTTTTTTTTTTTTTGCATGCACCGTTTCTTATTTAAATCAGCCTGCAGTTTTAACTTATTGATTTCCTTTTTAAGCATTCATCCGTGTACTTGTTTCTTTGCTAAAACTGAATCTTTTTATTACTATATTCGATCTACTGATGCATGGAATGGGAAAACTGTGTCGGTCGTGAGTTCTTGGATGTAGAAAATGTCGTGTTTGGGGACAAATCGATCAATTAGGTCATCTGGGCCAAAAATTAACATGTCGATATAAAAGTCATATCATCTTGTGCCTAACTACATTGTCCGATATATATAGTATGCACAATATATAGACTTAGCTCATGTTTGACACCCATTTTTAAAACTCATTTTCAATTACATATTTCATGGTACCCACAATTTTTATCAACTTTTCAATCACACGTGTCACCAATTTTTATCAAAATCTACTGAAAATCTAATTTTTATCCAAATCAACCGGGAGCTTAGATTCTCGTGTATCCACTTACAAAGAAAAGAAGTTACACACACCACATAATATTCATCGTTTATGGTTAAGCATAATTTAGACTTGTTTCCGTGTGTATCCACTAACCCTGGAAAGAAGCAAACTCCACTGGTAGATATGCATGCCACCTAATATGCATTATAGACTTGAATTCCTTGTGTATCCATTGACTAGGAAATGACATCTAGTATTCATTGTTCAGGATTAAACAACAACGTATGAAATTGGACTTGATTATCTTGTATATTCAATGACTAAGGAAAAAAAATGATTATCTTCTCTTTAGTCGAGCTTCCATATGTCTCGAAAACAATTGACACTTGACCAACCTAGTACGCCATATGATAGTGAGAAGGTTCTCTTGTAATAAGAAAAGGCAAAAGACAAAATATATACACCTAAGGTCATGGAGTAAAGGATTAGAATCCTATGCTATTTGAATAGCACTACTAGATTAGCATGTACATTTCACCCTTTGGTTTCACAATTTTTTTTTTACGAGTGTTAATAAATATAACACATCGAGAGCAAATCAACAATCGGGAATAAATCTTTGATGGTTTCTTCTAAGCCTTCGTTTGAAAAATTATGAATTATATACAAGTGATTAAACTTTATTTTCATCTACACATTTCCATGGACTCACTAGTAGTATCAATTCATCTATCATTCATTTCTATCAATTTATAAGTTAAACTTTTTATAAATTCTTCCAAACGGAGACTAACTAACTTTTCAATTTTGCAATACTTTGATCCCCAATAAACGGAAACCATTTATAAGGTTTTTTTACATCGCTTATTTTTTATTTATTGATTTTATATTCCATAAGTGTACGAATTGTAACATGTAGTAAATTAGATTTAAGAGTCTGAATCACCTTTCCCACGAGGACTAATTTCTAACGTTGATTTAATTATACCCAACTTCAATTCAATCGAGAACAAAAAAATGTATTTATCTTATTTTTATGTTTTTATTTTATTTTAAATATACAAAAAAAAAAATTAATTAGTCATATGATAATTAAAGAGTTAGGATTCAGGAGTTCACCATAACTATCCTTTTTAATCTCAATTACTCATTTGTATAACAACTAATTACTTGTACCAGTTGAATTCTTATAAATTAACTTTAAATTCATACCAATCCTATCCAATTAAGTCAACAAACCATATCTCTTTATGAATTCAAATAAGCTTTAATCATAAGCGTTCAATCTCCAAAAAAACATATTTAACGATCTTGACAACCATAAAAGTGTATATCCATCATTTTATTCAAATTACAAATTTATACTATGTGGTATAAACAAATAATTTGCCTCTCGACGAAATTATAGTCCACAAATTGATGAATTAGTGGACAATTTATTCAAAACATTAAGACTAGAAGTAAAAACACTTCACAAGCATCAATTGAAAGTTAAAACTAATATTTAAAACTATGTTACAATAGTTCATCATATCTATTTGTTTAATTACATATCATGAGAGAAGAAAAATAAAAGAAGAATAACATTGGATTTTAAGAAAAAAAAGGAAAAAGATGAAAATCTTGCACCAAGAATCCATCTTTCCCTTGTAAGAACCTTGAAACGCTAGCTTCTCGATTTTTCCTCTTATTTTGGGCTCTATTTTCTTGCAATCGATATGACTTTTATTTTCCCAAGAGGGGCCTTTGGCTTGTAATATGTGTTTAATGAATTCCTACAAGTATCTTTCAATAGTTGGACTAAGATATGTATTTATAGATTAAGATTTGAGTTAAAATTCTTGTTTCAATTGGTTTTGAGAAAGAGTGTGTGAAGAGAAAAGAAACAATTCCATTTTTCAATTTGACCCATTTCTCATACAATTTTAGCCCTTCATCTTCTAATCTTCATAATTAAGCCCCCTTCATCCCAAAACATTAATAATTGATTCAATGCAATTTTTGAAATTTGAAATTTAGTTCCTAAACTTTTCAAATATTGAATTTAACTCTCGAAACTTATAATTTTTATTGAATGTTTTAATTAATACTCCTAATTGATCAATTGCAATTCGCTTAATCTTCAATTGCTCTGAATCAATTTCAATTTAACCTCTAAATAACCCTTTCCACACCAATTGTATCTAAGTTCATTTAAAAAAATAATAATAATAATTTACACAAATTAAGTAGATAATTACCCAATTTACATATAATTCAATAAGAATAGATACTCAAATAAGTGCATAAAATGCACTTACCGGTATTCAGTTGACTAATTTTCTCTATTAAACACTTATTTTTATTTAAAAATAAATAAATGAAAAAGGAAAAAAAAAAAATAACATTCCTTCTATCGCATCCCTGCAAAATGTGTCTATGACACGTAATGCCAAAAATGTTGAAAAATGCTGAATAGAAACGGCATTTGAGATGGAAAATATATAAAAACTAGTAATTCTAATTACTTAATGCTATCCCATTTTCAAATTTTGCATAGAATAGCATAGGAGCATCAAGAAAATGTTGGAATATTGACGCCTGCAAAAAAATAAAAAAATAAAAAAAATCATGCGTTTAGTGGATGAGATATTGACAATCACTACTGCTGTCTCAAGAGACGTAAATAAAATCAACAAGATTTCAGCCATCCAAAACTAGAAATTTGCAACGGAGAGGGCAGGCCAGTGATACCCTTCCTTGCTCACATCCCCATCCCTGCTAGTGGTGGCAATCGAGTCGAGCGGCTCGTCTGCTCACCTGCTCAGCTCGCACTGTAGCAGCTCACGAGCCGCTCGAGCTCGTCAAAAGACGAGTCCGAGCACGAGCCGAGAGGACTAGCTCGCTAGACGAGTCGAGCCCGGTGAGCGGCTCGTCTACGAGCGCACGAGACGAGCGGCTCGTGGGCTCGTTGTATTTTTAAAAAAAAAAAAACGAAATTCAGTGATCAGAACGGTAAATTCAGTTACCAGAAGTCACTGAATTTATTTTTTTCAGTGACCGTTTTGGTAACTGAAATTTTTTTTATTATTTTTTTCTCTATAAATACCAATGTTTTAAAAATCGACCCGGGCATCGACCCGGAAAAGAGTAAGGGTCAAGGGTCGAAAGGTCGAATCGGGGTCGAACCGTCTTTTTTTTTTTTTAATAATTTTACAAAAAATCACCAAATAAAGCAAGTTTTTTGAAATCACAAAAAGTAAAGAACTATAACAACATGAACTCATCCATACAATTAATATAAATAATTAAATACAATCAACAAATCAACGTCCCGCTCAATCCAATTACGTAATGTAAAATAAGTCCATAATTTTAAGTAATTAACTATGTTAACTTGAAAACTTAAATAGTTAAAATTTAAAAATTTCACATGGGGTTGTTCTCTAATAGAAAAATGCCATGTTATAATTGAATTCAAAAAGTGCACTAAACATCAAAAGATCGAATAGTTAAATTTCATCTTCATCGTTCTCATCTATAAGCCTGAATCCTTGATCACTTCGAAGATCACTCGAACCACCAAAACGATGAATAACATCCAACGTATCTGCATCACCTGTCCCTTGAGTATCAAGCTTGTCAATATTTTCATCTTCATCTAAAGCACAAACATAAGAAAACAATATATTAGGTGAAACTGTGAAAGTGGAGACTATATTTTTCCTTTGAGTTCTAACATAATAAATATTACAACACTAAGTTTAAACTTTAAATAGTTAAACTTATTACCTTGAACATTCGTTTCATTTTCATGATTATTAACATTAAGAATTGCATCTTCTTCATAAATTGCATTATCTAATTCTTCAAACTCGAAATCCTGAGGTGGTATCTCTTCCTCTATCCAAAAGTCTGTCTTGTCAATGCATTCATAATCAACTGGATCATACGATCTTGACTTATAATAAATTCTGTAAGGTTGTACATGAAAATTAGTTATATTAAGAAAAGATTATCGATAAACGAAGCATTAAAAATAAACTTGTGACATAGTAAAGAGTTTTAGATTATAGACCTGTTCTTCAACCGCAAATTATAAGTAACATAGACAAGATCATTGAGTCTTTGATGTTCCAATCTATTTCTTTTTTTTGTGTGAATGCGTTCAAAGACACTCCAATTTCTTTCACATCCCGAAGAAGAAGCTGTTTGACCAAGAATTCGAACAGCTATCTTTTGCAAAGTTGGAGCACTATATCCACACAATTTCCACCATTCATCTACAAGTTATATCTAAAAGTTAGTTTTAAGTATTATATTAAGTCAACATATACAAAAATAATTAAATTTAAATGCTCACCAGGTTGCAACGACTTTCTAGTATTACATGCCGATTGTCTTCCAAAACTTCCTTCACGATCTCGATACATCCTTATCTCTGCCATTGCTTTTGTCTCATCATCACAAATGCTTTTGATCTCAAGTAAATTGAAGAGGCCTTGCATGACTTCTACTTTTTGACAAAATCCATCTTCATAAATGAAAGCAGGATTAAAAAAATAAGCTGCTGCATGTATGTTAAGGCGTAGATGTTTATCCCATCGTTCCTTGATGATATCAGTGTAAGGCTTGTACAATCTTTTCTTATTTAAAAATATATTTTTTATTCCTTTTCGTGTCCTATGCATTCCATCATATACATAACCCAACGAAGGTTTTTCATCTGCATCTACTATTCGTAACAACCTTATGATAGGAGCCACAATTTTCACAACCATCAAACAATCCTCCCAAAATTTGTTGTCCAAGATGATAGAACTTACAAGTCTCCCAGTTGCATTTTTTGAAAGCCTATGGCTTGTAAAATGCCTACTTGTTGCCAAACTTTGCAATACTTGTTTGTGATCATAAATACTTCTCAACGTAATAAACGTGGTGGCAAAACGAGTCACAGCTGGACGTACAATTTCCTTCCATTCAGGTATTTTTCTCAACCAAGACAAAAAAATTGTGTGGTTATACACAAATATTGTAATCTTTGAAGCACGTAATGCAAGGGAATGCACGTGAGGCATACTGCTAATATCTTTCAAAATAAGATTCAAGCAATGTGCTGCACAAGGAGACCAAAAAATGTGGTCATACTTTTCATGCAATAATTTCCCTGCCGCCACATAGTTAGCTGCATTATCAGTTACCATATGAACAACATTACGAGGTCCAACCCATTCAACTACCTCAGAAAATAAGTTACACAACATTGGAGCATCTTTCACTGCATCTGATGCATCAACAGATTTTATAAATACAATCCCAGAAGAGCAATATACTAAAAAATTAATTAAGGTTCTATGTCTTTGATCACTCCAACCATCGGCCATAATTGTACATCCATTATTTATCCAATGGCTTCGATAAGTATCAACTAGTAATTGACATTCTTTTTTGCAATCTCTCAACAAATTAACACGAATGTCATTATAAGATGGACCTTTAAATCCAGGGCCAATTGCAGCAGTAGCATCTAAAGCGAGTTGAAAGTAAGGTGAATGCAAAGCATTAAATGGAATGCAAGCATCATAAAACCACCTAGCCCAAGACATATGGGCTCTCTTTACTGCTTGTTTACCCGCTAAAACACTCTTCAAACTAGGCTGATCTCCAGGAGTAGTCCTTGGAGCAAAATATGTTTCAATCCCTCCACTTGCTTTTCTCTTCGCTTTTTCTTTCCTTTGTTTTTGTAATGGTTCATTTATTTCTTGAATTTCCTCTTCTATTTCCTCTCCTCTAATTTCTAAATCTATAGGATTTTCCCCGAACGTAGTGTCATGAGCCTCTTTCGCCTCTTGTTTCTTTTGAGATATATCCTTAAGAATTACTTGAAATTGAACCCGAACATCAAAAGGAACATTCTTACATTGAGATATTTGACCTTTAATTCCAGCAAGATGATACTTCATTCTATTAATTCCCCCACCTTTAAAGCTATTGTTGCAATAAAGACATGTGAAACGAATTTTACCGTCAATGTCATGACTTGAAGAAAAGTGTTCCCATGCAGGATCGCTCTTTGCACGACTAGAAGTTGTGGACCTTAGAGATTGACTTCCTAAAGAATGAGTATTGTTATCCATCCTACATAAAAGCAATGAAATGAATATAAGTGTTTTTCAACAGTAAAAGCTAAAATGAATTCCACAAAATGATTATGCAAACTTATGTATAACCACAGTAAAGCAGACAGAGAGCAAGGCAGAGAGGAAATCCAATTTTATTCCACAAAATTATGATAGTTCAGAAATCAATTTTGCTATGTAAATCCAATTATATTCCACAAAATTATGCAAACGTCTTTAGAAAATGATTTCAAATTTAGTTAAAGTTGTTTTTGTTTAAATGAAATTAGTTCACCCATTATGTGTAAATATGTAAATAAAGCATATAAAAAATTAAAAATAAAAAATCTGTAAAAGTTTCATTAACCAAATAAACCAAAAAAGTTGTCTTTTGACTTTTGTTTACATATTTCATAATCAATTGCAGCAGTAGCATTCTTTTCCTGTTTATATTAATTTATTTGAGTTTTTGGAAATCGTGGATGCCTTTTTACCTGTTTAACTTGGACTTCTTCAGATGAAAGGAATAAACTTATTGCTCAGTTTTGGAACTTCCGGTATTAGTTTCAGCCTTTCAGGGCAGTTGGCGACGGCATGGAAGAATGAGAGCGAGAGGAGATGGCATGGAAGATTGAGGCGGCATGGAAGAATTTTGGATTTCTGACTATGAAGGGTTTCAAATGGGTTATGGCTTTGAACCGAGGAAACCGTCTAAACCGTGTACGGGTCACCGGTTTTCCAAAAACCGGGCGGGTCATCGGGTTTTAAGGCGGGTTTTAAATCTTCGATTTTAAATGTCTAACCGACCCGGTTTTGGGCCCGGGTCCCGGTTAACCCGGTCGAACCGGCCGGGCCGGTCCGGTTCTAACAACATTGGATTATACTAACAATTGCATATTTTATTATCCCGAACTTGTAAATACTAGGACTAATAGTAGTGTGAAATCTCTAAAAATGCTCTATTTTAAAGGGATTCATAATTGTTTTTAGGTGGGATGTCTAGTGAAAAAGGCAAAGGAAATTTTGTGGGCGACGTGGGCTGTTTTTTATAAGGCTCTCCTTCTAGCAAAAAACTATTGACATCAAAAAATGACTAGGTCATTTTTGTTATGGGA